GATACCACCTAACCCCAGTTAGAATGGTGAAGATTTAAAAAAAAAAAAGATAAGTGCTGGTGGGGATGTGGTGAAAGGGGAACACTCCTACATTGTTGATGGAAATGTAAATTAGTCCAGCCACTGTGGAGAACAATATGGAGGTTCCTCAAAGACTTTTAACTAGAACTACCATATGATCCAGCAGTTCCACTCCTGGGTATCTACCCAAAGGACAGGAGAACGCTCAGTTGGAAAAGCACTTGTACGTCTATATTCATTGCAGCCTTATTCACAATTGCTACAACATGGAACCAACTCAAATGTCCACAAATGAATGAATGGATTGAGAAAATGTGACACACATACTCCATGGAATACTACTCAGCCATAAAAATGAACAAGGCCCTGGAATTTGATAGGAAGTGGACAAATATGGAAGATTTGTTGCTGAGTGAAGGAAGTTGGGCTATGAAAGAGAGACATTGCATGTCTCCACATAACATAAACTGATTTTCCACACTCTGTGGTAAAGACTGAAAGACATACAAGCACTAAAAATTGTTATGGACACTAGAGACAAAGTGGAAAGACTGTCCCAGGGGAAGAGTGCAGGAAAGGAAATTTGGGATAAAAAATAGAGAGGTGAGACATTTGTGGAACACAGATATGGTTTATTATTTGTTGATGAGGATGTGTATAGTATTCTCAACTGGGCTGGACTGAGTAAAGTCTCTTTACAATCTGATGTATAGCAATTAAATGTATAATGTATAAATAATAGTTAAAATGAACAATAATAATAAAAAAAAATAAAAGACAGAGTCTCACCCTGTCTTGATCATCTTGTTTCAGCATCCTCTTTGGGACCACACGTTTGTGCCATGACTCTTAACTTAGACTGAGGTTTGCCACATTACCTAGGTCCAGTCTTAAGTTTGTGACCCTTATGTCTTAGCCTCCTGAGTCACTGGGATTAAAAGTGCATGCTATGATACCATGCCTTTAGGTTGAACTGGGAATTGAACCCAGGCCTCCTATGTGGTCTTATCTGGTAAAATGTAGCATATTAGCAGTGCACATCACCGTAGCTGGGTTGGGAGTGTTATCTTTTTTAAAACAGAATTTCTGAACATGGGTTCGAAGGCTGTGTTTAACTTGACCCTACTTACCTGTGATACTGGTCTATTTAATTTTATGTGTCATTCATACTAAATTATTTTTTGTCCATTGTATATACCATGCATAATCTCTCTAATTTCTTCAGCATATCTGCACATGACATTCAGATAGATGACTTTTAAAAAGCAAAACAAAACAATCCCATTTCTGTATGACTAATAATCAAATAGACCACAAACATAAAAACCTATAAAAGAAGTCAAAGTGCAAGTGAAAATACTTGTAACCTAAAAAAAAGAAGCTAATTTTTTTGTCTATAGGTAAGAAAAAGACACACAAAAAAAAATAAAAGAGAAGAAAAACGAGCAAAGGACATGTTACTTGTGGGAGAATAAATTGGTACAAACCATATGAAGGGTGGCAACTTGTTAATATCCATCAATATACATATATGTTTATATAACATTTAATTATGACCAGCAAAATATACAATATAATCAGTTATTTTCATAATTCCTGTATAGTTATTATAAATGCTCTTATGATAGTAATACATTATTGAAACTGTATTATTATATTATGATTATATTGCATTTATACTTATTGTATATATACTTAGTATGTCTACTAGTATATTTGCATGTGTATGTATGTGTGGGTGTGTTCTTATGACATCACAGTTTTTCTGGGAATTTATCCTATAGATACATCAGCACATGTGTGTGAATTGTCTTATGTAATTTCAGCATCGTTTATTATAACAAAAGAGAACTTAGATGTCCATAAGTAAAGAATTAGTCAAGTAAGATATGCTACATTTTTACAATAGATAAGGACGTAGCTGTAAAAAAGAACGAGAATGTTTTCCTTATTTTGATGTTGAACAAAGGTTATATACTGTTAAGAGAAGATAGCAGGAACAAGTACAGCATGTATAAAGAGGGGTGTGTGTGAAATGCTATCATGTATGTTAAAATGAAGGGAAGATTAAAAACATGGATTTAGATAACAGTTTCACAAGAAATTAATATTAATAATAAAAGTGGTTATTTGGGGGATATTACTGGATAATGAGGGACAGGGCTTGAAAGGAGACCGTATCTCTTTTTTAATTTTTTTATTTTTGTGCCTCTGAACATACTGCCTATGAAAAACAAAATAAAATTTGTGAAAGATCTTAAGGAAATTATCTTTTTTCTTTCTTTTTTTCATCAGTAAGCTAAAAAAGCTGAGTGAAGACAGTTTGACTAAGCAGCCTGAAGAAGTTTTTGATGTATTAGAGAAGCTTGGAGAAGGGTAAGTATAAAAAGTATGAAAATTATATTCAGGTAATGACAGAATAACTTTTAAAAATGTGTTCTCTTTTTCACTGTTTTCTAGATATGCTTACTTCAGACTATGTTTCCTAATTTCCAATTCATGTGGGATTTTGTCATATTGTAATTACTTTTTTTTCTTTTTTTTCTGCTATAGAGTGCTTGTGCTCACCGGAGACACACACAGAGAGAGAGAGGGAGAAAGTGAGAAATCACTCCCTCCCTTTGGGGGGATGGCCGTGCCACAATCCCTTCTCCTCCATTCTCCTTTTGGGACTTCAGGTGCATGCACACACATGCACCTGGTGTGATTTTAAGCCACTAGGTCTAGGACTTGAACTGCAGTTGACTATAATGGGAGTTCAGTGACGTAATCATTATGCCATCTGCTGGTCCTGTAATTACTTATTTATTTATTTATTTTCTTTTTTTGGAGAGGTTTTTGCTATAGGGTGCGTGCGTTCGCCAGAAAGACAGAGAGAGACAGAGAGACAGGAAGAGAGAAATCAGCCCCCGGGAGGATGGCCGTGCTGCAATCCATTCTTCTCCATTCTCCTCTTGGGATCTTGGGCACACATGCACATGCGCCCGGTGTGAGTTTAAGCCACCGGGTCCAAGACTTGACAGTGGTTGACTACATGGAAGTCCAGCGACATAGACATTATGCTAACTACTGGTCCCTTTATTTCTGATTTGGTAGATTATAATCAGAAAATGTGACCTGTAAAGTTTCCTTTGTAGAATGTGTAATTTTTCTTTTACTAATGGTCTATGAACATATTACCACAAAAGGAGTACTGTAAGGGTATATATAAATAATATATAAATATAGGCATATAGTTTATGTATTTACATATGTAATGAAGTTTATTGATTATAGTGATTAATCACTCCGTGTCCTTTTTTTTTTTTATTATATCTATCCATTTCTGGAAAAGATATATTAAAATCTTCATACAATTTTACTTTTATTCAATTCCTCTGATATTGGTAATAGTTCCATATATATATATATTTCCATGTATATATATGTGTGTATATATTTGTATTTATATATATATACACACACACACATATACACATGCATATAATAGATATCTATATGATAAATGTAATTATTTTTATGGGGCCAGTATAACTTTAATATCAAAACCTAGATGCATCAAAAAAGAACACTAATTCACCTTTGCTTTGCTATCTGTTATGGTAACTGTACCTACCTAGTCTCAGGTATATGGATGTTAATCAATTCTCTCGTCTTAGAATCCCATAATCTATTAAGTTGTAGGGGCAAATTTCAGTGTTGTATTTCTTTTTTTTTAAGAATTATTTTTATTTAATTTTATTCATTCATTGTATTTTAATTTGATCAGAGAGAGAGACACATAAACACACACACACAGAGCGAGAGAAGCAAGAAAGCAAGCCGTCAGGTCCAGGACTTAAACTGTGGTCAGGACTTAAACTGTGATTACATTTATCATATAGATATCTATTATATGTATGTGTATATGTGTGTGTGTATATATATATATATATGTGGATGTGTCCAGTGCCTTAACCACCACGCCACCTGCTGGTTCCCCAGTGTTGCATTTCTGACCTCTTTCATGTGCTACAGAGCTTTCATTGATGCTAATCTTCTCTGGTCTCTCTCCATAAACATAGTTAGAGAGTAAGTAAGGAAAGTGCATATATCAATATACGTGAGATCTTCAAAAAGTTTTGAAAAAACTGTGCATGGAGGCTGGCCAGTGGCCTGGTGGTTAAGGGTGCTGGACTCTCACATGACTGACTGCAGTTTGTTCCTGGACTAGTGCCTTTCTTTCTCACTTTCCTCCCCTCTCTCTGTGTCTCTCACTCTGTCCCTTTCTGGTCAAATTAAAATAAATAAATAAATAAAATTAAATAAAAGAATTCTTAAAAAAATTAAAAACTGCATGAATTAAAAAAAAATTTGCACCAAAATAAACTCATACATTCATTCCATTTTTCCATGAACCTTTTGAAGTTCCCTATTAGCCAGGTTAGGTATCCCTAATCTGAAAATGTGAAATCCAAAATGCTTCAAAACATGGAACATTTTTTTTTTTTTGGAGAGGTTTTTTATTTTTTTTGCTATAGGGCACGTGCGGTCGCCAGACTGACAGAGGGAGACAGAGAGACAGAAAGCGAGAAATCACCCCCCAGGGGGCATGGCCACACCGCAATCCCTTCTCCTCTTGGGATCTTGGGCATGCACGCACATGTGCCCAGCGTGAGTTTTAAGCCTCTGGGTCCAGGACGCAAACTGCAGTTGACTACGTGGGAGTCCAGCAACATAGCCATTACGCTAACTGCTGGTCCCAAAATGTGGAACTTTTTGAGAACCAACATGGTGCCACAATTTCCATATCTGATCATAATGTGTATAGATGGCAGTTAAAACAAAACATTGTATAAGACTATTTTCTGGCTATATATGTTAAGGTTTGTATGAAATATAAGTGAATTTTGTGTTTAGACTTGAGTTTTGTCGTTAAGATATCTTGTTTTCTATATGCAGATATCCCCAAATCCATAAAAGTCCAAAACCTAGGACCAGCAGGTAACGTGGTAGTTAAGGCAAGTAGGCCCCCACATGACCAACTGCAGTTTGAGCCCTGAAACTGGTGGCTTGTATATCATGTCAGGCACATATGCATGTGTACCCAAAATCCTGAGAAGAGAATAGAGGAGAAGGATTGTGGTGTAGTTATCCACCCTGGAGAGTGATTTTTTTCTTCCCTTCTTTCTATCTCTTTCTGCACCGTGTGGCAAATGCTTTAAAAAAAAAAAAAGCCTCAAATTTGAAATACTTCTGATCTCAAGTACTTTAGAAGGGATACTCAATTTTTGTATGTATTCCATATCCTATTTCTTTGAGCCTTTGATCTTTCTCATTCATTGCATTCTGAGGGTTGCTTGGCATCTCTCTTAATACTGGCCATTGAATACAGGTTTCAGTTAACTAGCTGAGCAAATTGTTAGGTACTCTTCGAACTGTTGGAGCAAACATTTTTTCTTTTTAATTTTGAATAATTACTTATTTAACTTTATTTATTATTATTATTTAATTTGCTGTAGGTCACATGTGCCCACCAGAGGGGTTGGGGATGGAGGGACAGAGAGAGAAGGAGAGACAAAGGGAGGTAGAGAGAGAAGGAAAGTGAGAAAGCTAGCTGCCAGGTCTAGGATTTAAAGTGTGGTCAACCGTATCGGAGTCCAGCACCTTAATCACCAGCTGGCCCCATGCTAACACTTCTGAGTCTATATTTTTTATTTTTTTAAAATTTGTGATAGTATGTATATGAGAGAGAGAGAGATAGAGAGACAGAGAAGCAACCCAGCAGGGTCTCCTCATGCTGCAATCCTCTCCCCCAGCCCTCCAGTTCATTGGGATCTTAAATACACTCACATACTGTCATGATTTCAGGCACACCAAGGGCCTTGAATCTCTGATTGGCTCTGTGGCTTCCTACTACAGTTCAGTTTGCTACTGACTACACCGGTTGGGGATGGAGGGACAGAGAGAGAAGGAGAGACAAAGGGAGGTAGAGAGAGAAGGAAAGTGAGAAAGCTAGCTGCCAGGTCTAGGATTTAAAGTGTGGTCAACCGTATCGGAGTCCAGCACCTTAATCACCAGCTGGCCCCATGCTAACACTTCTGAGTCTATATTTTTTATTTTTTTAAAATTTGTGATAGTATGTATATGAGAGAGAGAGAGATAGAGAGACAGAGAAGCAACCCAGCAGGGTCTCCTCATGCTGCAATCCTCTCCCCCAGCCCTCCAGTTCATTGGGATCTTAAATACACTCACATACTGTCATGATTTCAGGCACACCAAGGGCCTTGAATCTCTGATTGGCTCTGTGGCTTCCTACTACAGTTCAGTTTGCTACTGACTACACCACCAGGGCAGACCAGAGTCAACATCTACATCAAACTAATTTCTCTGTCCCTAGAAGTCTTAGACTCCATTCCTATGTATATTCTTTTTGGTTCTGCTGATAGAAAAATGGCAAAATCTTACAAAAATAATTTGGTGTGAATAATGGTTGCCATTGGATTAAATTTTGTACTCATTCTCTTGATATCTGTGGATTTGAGTAATTATGGGTCTGGAAGCAATGAGAGGTGGCAATGGAAAAGTTTGGAGGAGGAACTAATTCTCTTGAAAAGTGTCTGCTTCAGGTGAGGTCATTATAGGGTTTTCAGGCATCATGAAAGCAGGTTTGCTTTTGATATCAAAGGGATTAGGATGCTGAGAATAATGAAAATCTACCTAAATGTCAGTTCTCTGGGTACCCCTCTTTACTGCTAAATGCCTTAAGTTTAATATAGCAGATCTGGTGATGTTAATTCAATTTGTAGTGTAACTCATCTTCTAGTAAGATTGTACTTTGAATTTGAGTTCCAGAAATCTCAGCCCCATGTTTCTAAGAGTTAGATTCTTTTGAGGCATTCAGAAATTTTCTGCTTTTCTCAATCTTGAGCTTACTGTATTTGTCCTAGAACTTTTCCACTGTACCGTCTTTGTACACTCTTTTTGCTACACATTACATTGGTAAACCTGCTTGTTCTACAGCATTGCTTAGACACCAAGCAGCTAAGGGTAATAATTTAAATACTGCTTTGCCACTGAATTCCATAACAAACAGTATTGTTTGTTATTTGTATTGAAGTTACTACTGCCTTCAAATCTAAAACTGAACTAATTCAAGATTCCCATCTTCAATTGTCTTCTCTTGGAACGTTTCTCTACCAAAAACTACATTAATGGCAGAGTATGGTTAGGAAAAGAAAATTTACTCCATATACTTTGGGTATTGAGGGTTTAGTGTGAACATGAATTTTGTAAAGGGAGGAATACAGAGGTCATGGAAGCTGCTGCTGAAGGTTAGAGAAGCCAGTTTTGAAGATCTAAGCCTGAGGCACTGAAGGGGGATTTCTCAGAAACTCTGTAGGAATCTGCTGGAATCCTGAAGAATCTTTAAGAAACATTCACCAATTATTTTAGTCTGTAGCAGTGTGGTAGTTATAGGAGGCTCACGGAAAGCCACTGTCCATCTCATACCTGCCATGGTATCTGTTATATCTACATCTGGAGAATAACGGGTTCTCCTTAACTTTTTTCATTCAGATTTCATATACCTTCTTCTCACTGGTAGACTTTTAACTGGGACATTCAGGAAAGGAGAGTCTGGGAAATAGGATTCCCAGCTTCTCTTTAGCAGTGTGAGGAGTCATTAAAAAGCAGTGATGGCATTGGTTAATGGCAGTGCATAATCTGGCACTGAACTGTGTGTTAACTTTGGAGAGAATGTACGCATATATATGGATGTATGGCTTTTGTGGGGATACATACACACACAAACACAAAGATGACTGGATATCAAACTGTATTAAATTACTTCAGAGAGTCCTCCAAAGAAAAGTAGAATAAAACTTTGTTGAAGTAGCTGCTTTATTACTTGCCACTTCTTCACTTATTTTGAAAGATTGTAAATTTGAAGGTGATTTTCAATATTAAGAAACATTCTTACATCTCCCACTGGCTTGCTCTTCTTTCTCTTCTGTAGAAACAATGTAGTGAAAAGAGCATGCTCTTTGGAGTCAGACGTATTTGAATTCTGAACTTGTTGGTTACTAGTATCCAAGTCTCTGTTTCTTCATGGTTAATGGCAATAATAGTATTTTTCCTTAGAGTTGAGAGGATTGAGTGTAATAATGTACATAAAACACCTAGCATACTACCTGGCTTATAGTAAGAACTCAGTAAATGGTAGTAGTTTTTAACTTTGTTTTGTGGTTCATACTAAAGTACACATGACTTCCTCCTTACTTTTAAAAACACATACGTGTTTAATTGACGAAGTTTCGAGAGTTGTAGCAAAGACCATTTGGGGAGCAGGTGATCACTAGATCCTACCCCTAATTTTATTTATTTTTTATTGTTTGTTTCTTTAATTTTAAGTTTAATTATGCTCATTCACTGTACATCATTACAGTATACAAAATGAGATTTTTCATTTAGGATGCACTGTATATTGGCTCATCCAAGGATATTACCATATGTGTTATCATCCAAAAAATAATTTTCCATTTCTCTTTTCTTATATATTTTGCTTTATTTTTCTCTCGATTCCCTACCTTTCACCCTCTGCCATTTTCCACCCTCCTCCCACACTGTCTCTGGTATCTACAGTTGCTTTCCATGCCTTTAAAAATTCTTATTTTCATATTTTATTGATTCACCAAAGATCTTAATTAATCTAGATACTTTCAATAGCAAGTACAACTGATATATACATATCTATGAACACATGTCTGACTTTAGGCATAAACCTTAGTAAGTAGAATGAACATAGTACAAAGTAGCACCTAGCTGGGGCTAATAGCTTAGTGCTATTCCTCTGTCTCTCTCTCTCTCGTCATTAAATAGTTATTTTTTTTTTTTTGAAGAGGTTTTTGCTATAGGGCGTGTGCACTCGCCAGAGAGAGAGAGAGACAGAGAGACAGAAAGCGATAAATCACCCCCCAAGGGGAATGGCCACACCGCAATCCCTTCTCCTCCGTTCTCCTCTCGGGATCTTGGGCACGTATGCACACCCGCCCGGCGTGAGTTTTAAGCCACCGGGTCCGGGATGTGAACCGCGGTTGAATACATGGGAGTCTAGCGACATAGCCATTATGCCAGCTGCTGGTCCCAATAGGCATTTTTTTAATGCATTTTTTATTTCAAGAAAGACAGTTTTAGTTTTAATAGATCAAAATCAAAGCATGTTAAGAGACGTTTGCTTAAGGCTTAAAGCCAGGAAAAAGGTTAGGATTCAGTTCAAACAGATAGATGAACCTATCAGTGGCTCAAGAAAAGACAAAAATCCTTAAATCTGGAAAACAAAACATAGAAGAAAATCAGTAGTGTTTTAGTCAAAAGTCATAAGATTCTATTTTACCAGTTCAGTCTCATGTAATTAATCTCTCTTCTGTTGTTGAATTTACACTATTACTGTGACCTGATCATTCCATTTAAATTCTAGAAGTTAACGTGGAACATTATTGATCTTTCCAAATTTGTCCCTACCATTAAGTTGGCTGTTCCCTTGGTTTTTTTTTTTTTTTTTTTTGCACTATTATTTCTGTATGTATCACTTTAGTTTTCCTGGTATAGCACTCCCTTCAGAAACTTCTTGGAGAGCTGATCTGGTGTTGGTAAATTCTTTCAAGTTTTGTTTATCCGAGAATGTTTTTTGTCTTTTCTTCCCATACAAAGGATAGTCTTGCCAGGTATAGTATATTTACCTGGGAGTATGTAACTTTCTCTTGAGGAGGAAAAGATAGTGAAAGGAGGATTTTTAGATCCATAACTCGGGAAGAACCAGATGGCTGAAGACTTCCTGTTTTTAAAACTTTGGTCTTATGTGATCCTCAGCTGAGATTTCAACTGGTTTTTTTTTTTTTTTTAATTTTTTTGACAAGGTCTTGCCACATTGTGATTCTTCTTCCTTTCTTCCCACAGCCTATTTTAAGGTTGGCTCAGAATCTGAGCTCAGCTGCCTTGTGCAGTGGTGTCTTACCACTCGTGCCATCATGGCAAGGCCTTATCTTTTCTAAGTACTCTAGAGGTGGGATTTTGATATGCTACAGATTATTTTGCCGAAGGTCAGTCTTTTCTCCTAACTTGAGACTTGGCTGTTTTGAATCTACGTTTCATTCTTTCAATTTCCATTTATATCTTCTTAATGCTGCGTTTCTTTGAGTTCCCAAACCGTAAGTTTACTTCTTTGATTCGTGAGAAAAATAGCAACTCATTGTATATTAATTTGATGATTTTAAATCTGTGATTGAAGCAATAAAGCTAAGGTCTAATGCATTAACATTTTTATTGCTATTTGTTTACTTTGATGTCTTATTTTACCATTTAAATATTGTCCCAAATAGAAGTGACCGCACACAAAAATTCATAATACACTTTATATCTAATGGTTTTGATGTTTGATAGGAAAAAATAATAATGTCTTGGTTTCTTTTAGGTCTTACGGAAGTGTGTTTAAAGCAATACATAAAGAATCTGGTCAAGTTGTTGCAATTAAACAGGTACCGGTTGAGTCAGATCTTCAGGAAATAATCAAAGAAATTTCTATAATGCAGCAATGTGACAGGTATGAAGAGCTTTTACTGCTTTGTTCACCTTCATTTGATAAGTTTGCTAATGATGTATAATAAAAAGTATTCTTTGGTTGTCTGTTTTCTTTTTTGACTTTCTTTCAGAAGTGAGACTAATCCTTTAAGGAAGGTGAGGACAGCTTTGTAGGGTTTTCTTTAGGTCTTTATGGCTTTGTGCTTATAAAACAGAAATGATATTATAACATAAAGGAACATGTGGTGAGGAAAATATTCAAGTAGTTTTCCTATTTTCAGAACAAATACATGGGCAAAAAAATTATTTTTAATGTTTAAGTGTCACCTGGTCTGTATAATATACAATCACTTTTACTAATTAGAACCATGTTTTATATAAATCTAATTAAATCAACACATATTGACTGAATATTTCTGTTGGACAGTTATTTTGTAGGACTTAAGAATACCAAAAGAACTAAGATTCTCTCGGGCTAGCAAGTGGCATAGTGGTTAAGATGCTGGACTCCCACATAGCCGATCATGGTTCAAGTCCTGGACCTGACGGCTTGCTTTCTCACTTTTCCCCTGTCTCTCTCATAAGTGCATATGCCCTTTAGCAAATTAAAAGAAAATAATAATAAATAAAATTAAAAAAAAAGAACTAAGGTACTTTTTTTTTCTTCTTCTTAAGAGACTGGTGGTCTAATTGGTTGTCTCTCTAGCTTTTATATAGCACACTCACTATACTGACTGGTGCCTGGGGTGATGTGAGAATAAGAAAGAAGGACACCCTCTCAGTGGAGGCAGGAATCTGGAGTGCTTAGGAAGAGTTAATTTGGTAAAGGAATGGAGGTATGAGAGAGAAAGATAATTATAGAGAGGTAAAAAACAGTTTATGTGCAAACTTCTGACAAAGTTTAGATATCTTTGTGAAAATGAGGTTGGATAGGTAAATGGAGCTGATGATAAAGAGTCTTATATGCAACATTAAGTAACTTGGTCTTTATTCTATAAAGGATGAAGACGGTATGAATTAGGAGTATGTTTAGCCTACAGTTGCTTAACCAAAGAGTGATTTATTACTTTTCCTTAATAGAAAGTCTGAAGGTAGGGGTTATAACAGCAGCAACAAAGTAAGGCTTCTTTTCTGTGCTGCCATCCTTAGCATATGGTCTTTAACTTCCCACTTATTATCTTACGTCAACAAGACTGCTCCAGCCCCAGCCTGGTATCTATCAATTTCAAGTAGGAGGAAGAAATGAAGAAAGGGGTTTTCTCAGACGTGTCTTGTTTGTCAGAATTGTTTCATATGGTAACTTAGAGTTGGTGACTTAGGGAGTCTGGTAGTATTGTCACCCCTAATTAAATCAGGCCCCTATTAGTAAGAAAGCCGTGGAATACTTTTTCTCCTAGCAGTATGTAAGATCTCTGTATTATGAGTTTGGTTGGTAGGGGAGCAGAGAGTTGACCCCAGAGAACCCTGAGCAGCCCCACTGCCACTGGCCTAGTTGCCATCACATCCCAGGAGGAGCGCAGCTGCCACAGCTAGCCCCAGTCACCACCACCGTAGCCATGAGCGGTGGGCCGAGAGCTAGCAGCGCCTGCTGTCCCGCCCTCAGTGCTGCCTACACCAAGCTGGACACCACGGGCAGTAGCGTGGGGAGCGGTGGTCTCGGGCGGCCTCTCATCAGTGGCATCTGCCGCTGGGACAAGATCATCCCAATGAAGATTTTGGAAACAGTAAAATGGTTCAATGTAAGAAATGGATATATTTCATCAATAGGAATGACACCAAGGGAGATGTATTTGTGCACCAGACTGCCATAAAGAAGAACAATTCCAGGAAGTGCCTTCGCAGTAGAGGAGATGGAGAGACTGTGGGGTTTGACGTTGAAGGAGAAAAGGGTGCGGAGGCAGCATATGTTACAGACTGTGGGGGAGTTCCAAGTCAAGGCAGTGAATATACAGCAGACCATAACCAATATAGATGCCATCCACATCCTAGGGGACCTCCACGCAATTACCAGCAAAATTACCAGAATAGTGAGAGTGGGGAAAAGAACGAGGGATCGGACTGCGCTCCTGAAGGCCAGGCCCAACAACACCAGCCCCACTGCAGACGAAGGTTCCCTCCTTATTACATGTGGAGACCCTGTGGGCAGCAACCACAGTATTCCCACCCTCCTGTGCAGGGAGAAGTGATGGAGGGTGCTGACAACCAGGGTGCAGGAGAACAAGGCAGACCAGGGAGGCAGAATACGTATTGGGGTTATAGACCATAATTTCGCAGGGGCCCTCCTTGCCAGACAGCCCAGAGAGGACAATAGCGAAGAGGATAAGGAAAATCAAGGCGATGAGACCCAAGGTCAGCAGCCACCTCGATGTGTTCAATGTCAGTACTGCTGCAACTTCAATCGTGGATGCGGAAGGCCAGAGAACCCTAAACCACAAGATGGCAAAGAGACAAAAGCAGCCAATCCACCAGTTGAGAATTCGTCTGCTCGTGAAACTGAGCAAGGTGGGGCTGAGTAAATGCCGGCTTACCATTTCTGCCATCGTCTGGTTTAGACATCCAACAAGAAGTAAATACGAAATTCCAGCAATAAGAAATTAACAAAAGATGGAGCTGAAGACCTTAAGTGCTTGCTTTTTGCCTGTTGACCAGATAACTAGAACTATCTGCATTATCTGCAGAATGGGGGTTTTTATTATTTTTACCTAATGATGTCTCTTTTCCATAATGACAAATGCATTTTTTAAAAAAGCCTTAAAGGTTTTTAAGTTGTTTCATATTTGGTCAAGTTGAGACTTTTAAGAACTTCATTTTTAATTTGTAGTAAAAGTTTACAACTTGATTTTTTTTAAAAAAGCCAAACTACAAGCACCTGTTAATAAAGGTCTTAAATAATAATAATAATAAATCTATGTATTATAAAATCTTTGGCTAATGATGTGACTGAATAATCCTAGGGGAACTTCTCTACTTGGATCTGTTCAGTTTTGCTTTTCTTTAGATTATGTTATGTATTTATGTTTCACATTTTCCATAAAGGCTGTATAACTAGAAATTCAAGTGTTTACAGGGGAAATAAAAAATTCCTTAGCCCCTAGATCAAAGTATAGAATTGCAAAGTTTTCCCAGGCCTTGCTGTTAATTGGGTAACTTGATGAGAATGTAGTTTCCACAATTTGATGTAGAAAAGTAAAGACTGAGCATGGCATTGTCCCTGATCCATCAGACATGCTTAATAGTTGCCTGATGTCATTATTATTTATTACTATGGTTAAAAGTATCAGGATTAGTACTGTATTTATAGATTTTTAATTGTTTCACATGGTAACTTAGAGTTGGTGACTTAGGGAATCAAGTAGGTAGGGTGTAGGAAAGGCAGGGTCTCAAATATTACTTATTATTTATCTCCCACCCCCCCTTTTTCTTAATTGCCAGAGGGTGTGTGTGCTCACAAGAAGGAGAGAGAGAGAGTACCCCATATTGCAATAAAACAAGATCATGCTGCAGTCTTATCTCCATTCTGTTGAGATTTTGAGTGCATACACAGGTGTACCTGATGTGTTTTTCAAGTCACAGGGCCAAGATTTGAACTGTGGTCAACCATGTGGGATCTGATTCTTTTAACCAGCAGTCTGTGGGACTGGCTTCTTCCCCTAAGTTTTATGTTTGGAACCCATGAACCCTTATTTAGATTTTTGCAATAAAATATTACTTGTTCACATTGTCTAGTATTTTTGTTTCTTCTGACCCATCTTCTTCCCTGAAGTAACAGTGGTCTTTTAAAAATGCAATCGAATCAAGCCATTTCCTGTTTAAAAACCTTAAGTAACTCCCTGTTGCCCAGATACATCTAGTCTCTACCTAAAAATGGCATATAGGCCCTTCACATTCTACCCAGCACTTATGCCTCTGTATTTTACTGAGATTCTCTTTTAAGCACCTGTTTACTTGCATTCTCTTTCACTTGACTCTAAATTCCATGAGTTCAGGGATTATGTTTTGGTGTCCATAGATCCTGCTACATAGTTGTTACTCAGATACAGATGAGTACTTCTAAATCATGTCTGGGCAAGTGAACTGGAATATCTGAAGGAACTTCACATTTAACATTCTAAAACCAAATTTTTAATCATTCCAGATGAGCCTATCAGATTTCTCTGTTAGTGGCATCATCATACAGTCTTTTCATCAACAAAACAATTTTTATTTCTTTTTTTGATACTTCTGAGACACTAAGTCTTATTGACCACTACAAACTCTGGGGTTTAAGCATTGCCTTCTTTTCCAAGGCTGTGGATTTTGTAATCCATGGCAACTCAGTGGAGGAACACATTTTATTAAGGCTTACCTATGTCTGCTTTAGAAGTTTTTTTTAAAATGTATTCCAGTGCTTCCCAAGTCAGGAGTTATCAGGGAATAGATATATGCCATTCCTTTATATGAATTAGGGACAGCTTTATTTGCAGAAATTGTGAATGCAAATTAAAGTCATAGCCAGTTTATCTCATATCACCCCTTCTTTTCTTACTCTGGTTAGTAATTATATTTATTTGTGGGCTTACTTTCCTAATACCTCTTATTTCTGATTGCTGAATGAAGGTCAGAATTGTGTTTCTCTGGTTCACTACTGCATTCTGAACATCTGGTCCAATTCTAGCCTAAGTAGAAGGTGAAGAAATGCTATTTTTAATAGTAGCTGCTAATCGAAAAATCTATTGAGCAATTTGTCCCCTAAACATGCTATATGTGGTTTATCCTATTTGTGTGCCTTTGTTCATGGCCTTTTCCTTTCCTAGAATACTCTTTTCTACACAAATTTTGTAGTTTAACTTTTTCTCAAAATCTCATTGAAGGGGCCAGCAGATGGTGTAGTGGTTATTCGTTGGACTCCCACATGGCTAACTGCAGTTTGCGTTCTGGACCTGGCGACTTGACATTCACAGCAGCATGTGTGTGTGCATGCCCAAAATCCCAAGAGGAGACTGGAGAAGGGGTTGTGGCTTGGCCATCACCCCTGGGTAGTGATTTCTTGCTTTCTGTTATCTCTGTCTCTCTTTGCCTCTCTGGTCCCCCCTGGGGAGTGATTTCTTGCTTTCTGTTATCTCTGTCTCTTTTGCCTCTCTGGTGAGCGCAAGCTCTTAAACAAACTAAAAACCTCATATAAATCCCACCCTTTCACAAAGTTCTTTCTGATGACTCTACCATGGTCACTTCCTCCTTTGAGGTCTCATAGGATGTAGATTGTGTACTTCTGACCTGCATGACTGTAATGATAGGCAGTGAAAGAACATATATGATGCTAAAGGACCATATAGGCTATACCATATAGCTTATGTATGTGATAGGCTGTACCATCAAGGATTGTATAAAATCACTGTGATGATTACATTACAATGAAATTGCCTAATGACACTTTTCTGTGAATATATCCCATTGTTAAACAATGCCTGACTGCTTAGTTTATCTGCCTTCTATTTTCTGTATTCTGTAAATATGGATAGTTTGCCTCTTTGAGTTGGGTAAGATGTTTTATACATCAGCATATGTGCACACCCTTAGTAAATATTAATGGTGATGGTCATTTATCCTTTTCAAAGTCTCTGGTTCCCCCCCACCCCCTTTTTTTTTGGAGAGGTTTTTGCTATAGGGCGTGTGCACTCGCCAGAAATACAGAGAGAGACAGAGAGACAGAAAGCGAGAAATCATCCCCCGGGGGAATGACCACGCCGCAATTCCTTCTCCTCCATTCTCTCTAGGGATCTTGGGCACACACACACACATGTGCCCGGAGTGAATTTAAGCCACCGGGTCTCGGACTCGAGCTGCAGTCGACTACATGGGAGTCCAGCAACATAGCCATTACGCTAACTGCTGGTCCCTCCTTTTCTAAGTCTCAACTTCGCTGTATAAAGTTTATTCTGCTCTGGAAGAGTAACACTTTAAATTGTTAATAATTCTAATTATATGAACACAAGCAAATAAATTCAATTATTTTTCCTTAGAATTATGAACAAAATGAAAGAAAAAGTTTTGGGCTTCACTGATGTACGGAGTATTTTAAAGATGAGTGTTAATATCTGATTGAATGCAAAATCCTTTAGAAGATTTGTATTTAAAATGCTTTAGTTAAAGGAAAATACTTTTATTTGTTCCTTATGTTCAGTCTTTTGCTAAAATGAAGACTTATTTCCTTGAGAGTCACACAGAACATTTGGGCCTCCTCTTGTTTGTAATCCTGTTAAATTTCATCCATGAATTAAAGTCTGATTATGCACAGTTGGTGAACTGTAGATATAGACAATTTGATGTACAATAGACGTTTACTCATGAAGTTTACTTATTGGAATGCCATGGAATGTGAAAATACCTTGTATTTGGATTAAGAAAAAAATTTCTTTGGGAATTAACTAAATTTAATTATGTGTGTTTTTTCTGTAGTCCGTATGTTGTAAAGTACTATGGCAGTTACTTTAAGAACACAGATCTCTGGATCGTTATGGAGTACTGTGGAGCTGGCTCTGTCTCAGACATAATTAGATTACGAAACAAGACAGTAAGTATTTTAAAATTGTTTTGCTAATCTCATTTCTCAAGATTCATATTTTAGAATCTGAATAGGTAGTATTCCATTACAAAGAAAATATTATTGTGAAAAAAAGAAAAGATTTTAAGCAGTTGTAAAGAGATCTAGTAGGTGTGAGAACCAGCAACATATTTTTCTATGGCAAATTTAAGAATACGTGATTGTTTACTTAGTAGAGTAATTTTTGGTAAATCACAGAGAAACTACCATAGTACTCCTCTTCATTGGGAATCAGTGTGTTCTGTTTATGACTATGATTTAAATAAATTATGACACAGTTTTATTTAAAGTTCCTAATGTTTGTGGTATTTTATTTTTTCTGTATTATAATTTATTGGCAGTAAACATTTGAAGAAGTTATGATTCAGAATTGAAAAAGATGTTCATATTAATTTCCAGAATATTATCATGATGTATAAAAATGATAGAGCTAGGTTATATATACATTTAAAAATAATTTTGTGATGTCAGCTTAGTGAAATGTGTTATTTAATAAAAGCCTTTTATGGTTATGTTTTAATCCTAAGTAGAAGAACTAATTATAAAATTGCTTATTTTAGGCTAGCAATGCATCTATTAATAGTTTATTTGGACAGTTTATAAGGACAACAGTGACCTTTTTAAATCTGTGATTGACTAAGAATTCTAAGAGAATATTCAAGGAAATATTTTGTAATTCTTTAGAACAGTAACTATCATTACTACTTGATAGTATGATATGTCAGACATGTTTTAGTAAAATAACATTCAGAAAAAAAAAAAAAACTTAGGTACTTGAGTCAATTTGTGGTTAACCAGATTCATTTTAAAGTTTTGATTGGGAAAGTACATTGCAATTTTATCCTGTTAATTTTTTTTCTCTGTTAGAGAAAATAAATAAGATTTAAAAGAAGTGAAATGAAAGTTAAAATAATTCTTGTTTTGGCAGAATGGATTAGCCAATCTGTGACATTTCTAATTATATATTTTAAAATTTTTATGATACTTAATTAGCATCTGTGTAAATTAGATAACTCTTGAGCAGAAAAATAATGTTTTAAGTGAAAATAATACATTGGGCTAGCAGGTGGCATGGTGGTTAAAGGTGTTGGATTCTCGTATGACTGACCATGGTTTGAGTCCCAGACCTGGTGGCATGCTTTCTCACTTTCCTTCTGTCTCTCTCCTCTCTTGCTCTTTCTTTCTGTGTCTCTGGTCAAATTGAAAAGTGATAATAATAAATAAAACGAAACAAATAATTAAAAAAAATAATTATACAGCAGTTGGAGAAGCGTTTTTAAATAATTTCAGGCTTAAGTTCTATGCATTTGGAATATAAAATTATCAAGTAGGAATGTGAAAGTAAATCTGTATGAATGGAAAAATTTAAATATCTATTTTTTTGATTTTAGGTGTTAATATTACCATTTGAGCTAATAGGAAGTATTTGATTTAAGTAATTTATTTCTTGTTGCCAATAATTACAAATTGTGAGGGTATATTATAGCTCTTGAAGACAGGTATGGGCGGATCATTAATTATCCTTTGGTATCTCCCTTTTTCCAGTTATTGAAGGAAAGGTTTTATTTTTTCGTATTCTTTGTTAGAAGACAAAATTCACTGAGCTTGCTGGGGAGCCATCCCTTTGGAATAGTCTAACAGAACAATTGCCTTTGGCTTGGCATGAGAAGAGTAATTACCATATGTGAAAAGGAACTTAGAGCTGCAAGAGAGATTGATTAGTTCTGTGGGTGTTGCCCTGATGACAGCTCCTCTTAAATCTCAAGAATATTGTATCTTTCTTTTCAGCACAAGGACATTCCCCCCACCCTCTCCCCACTTATTTAATATCTAAATGAGTATCATTATCAGGGCCAGCAGGTGGCATAGTGATTTAAGGTGGTGGACTCACATGTGGTCTACCTAAGTTCAAATCCTGGTCAGACAGGTGACTTAAAACTCATGCCAGGCACATGTGCTTGCATGCCCCAGATCCCAAGAGGTGAATGCTGTGTGGCCTTCTACTCTGAGGGGTGATTTCTCACTTCCTGACTCTCTGCCTCTCTCTGTCTCTCTGGCAAGTGGCAAGTGTACGCACCCTAGCAAAAATCTCTCTCTCTCTCAAGAAAAAGTACCATTATCATTTAAGGTTAGCAATATAAGGATATATATCATACCATCTTTCAATGTCTGATCATTTTAAGGGAATGTTCACTGGAGTTATCTTGAATGAATTTCAGAGGTGCAACTATTATGCATTCACTGGCCTTAAAAAATATGACGAGTGAGACAGTTACTATTAATCTATTAAGCAGATGTTAAATTCACTCTAGTAGGTGTTTTCATGGTCACAAAAAAAATCACTCTTCCTGAAAATATGGCAACTATTATTGTTATTTTTTAAAATTTTTAGGACTTAATATGCTCTGTTGCTTCTTGTTATATGCTTTGTTGTTTCTTTTATTTCCATATACATTTAAAATAGTACAAAGAATTCTTGTTATTGTTTTATATTGTCAATATTTTTATTTACCCGTGTATTTTTTTTCTATATTTCCTTTTATGTTTCCCAATTGCCTGAAGAATGTCCTTTAGTATTTACTTATATGTGGGTGTGATGGTGACAAGATCTTAGTTTCTTCATATGAAAAGGATGTTATTTCACTTTTTTTGTTTTTAAACTTTGTGAGAGAGAGAAAGGGAGAGAGAAAGAAAGCTGTGTTTGATAGGTTCTTGCTATGTCTGGATCTTACTACTCCAGTCTCCCAGTTTGTTGGGATTGCAGGCATTGTGCAACCATATCCAATGTTTTCAAGTAGGCCTGGGAACTGAACCTGAATCTTCTGTGTGTGTCTTCCAGCCTCCCAAGTGTTAATGCTACTTGCATGCCACTGTGGCTGACCCTGATTTTATTTTTAAGCAATATTCTTAGTAGGTTAGCATTGTGTGTTTGTGTACGTGTGTTGTGATATCATTCCACAATTATGTAGTTTTCATTGCTTCTAATACTTTTTTTTTTTTTTTGAGAGGTTTTTGCTGTAGGGCACGTGCACTTGCCAGAAAGACAGAGACAGAGAGATAAGAAAGTGAGAAATCACCCCCCAGGGGGGATGACCATGCCACAATTCCTTCTCCTCCATTCTCCTCTCGGGATCTTGGGCATGCACACACACACACCCCGTGTGAGTTTAAGCCACCGGATCCGGGACTCGAACCGTGATTGACTACGTAGGAGTCCAGTGACATACCCATTACGCCAACTGCTGGTCCCATCTGATACATTTTGCTGTTGCTTCTTTGAAGGTAATGTTATTTTTTTCCTTCTCTAGTTACTTTTTAGACTTCACCTTTTGTTTTAGAGGCTTTACCTTGTGCCTACTTATGGTTTTCTTGGTATTTATTACATGTAAAGTTCTTGTTAGACCTTTCTTCTAAAGCTTGTTATTTGTTACCAGTTCTGGAAAATTCTCACTTATTATCACTTCAGATAATGTTTCTAGGGACAGTCCTGTATTGCAGTTATTAAGGCTCCCACATGATCAACCACACTTTAAATCCCACCTTGGCAGCTTGGAAAACACACTTGGCATGAGTGTATGTGTACCCAAAATCTTGATGGGAGGGAGGAATGGAGGGAAAAAGTATTGTGGTATAACTACTTCCTATTGAAGGATACATGTGCTCTATTCTTCTTTCTGTCTCTGTCTTTGGTGAGAGCATATATCTTCTAGCTATTAAAAAAAAATAATGTTTTAAGCCAGCTGGTGGCATGGTGGTTAAGTTGACTGGATTCCACACAGCCAACTGTGCTCTTTGAGTCCCAGACCCATTGGCTTGAAAATCATGCCAGGTTCTTGTGCTTACGTGCCCCAAATCCTAAGAGGATGGAAAAGGGATTTTGGATGGCCATCTCCCCTGGGTGTACTTTCTCACTTTTTCTCTGTGTCTCTGGTGAGCACATGTGCCCTATGGCAAAAAAAAAAAAAAAAAAGAAAGAAAGAGAAAAAAGAAAAGATTTCTGGCCCATTCTTTTTCTTCTTTAGGGGCCAGCTGCATGTGATTTAGTTTAGTCACCCTTCCCATAATTTTTTTTAATGCTTCAATCTATGTATATTATTCTGATGTCTTCCAGTACACTAGTCTTCTCTTTGCTTATGTCTAATCTACTTTTAAATTCGCCTTTTTATATTTTAATTTTTAGTTACTGACATTTTAAACTTTAAAATTTGTTTGATTCTTTTTAGAAGTGTCTAGTTCTTTGCAGAAATTTATATGTTCTTTATTTCTTAGAACATATTAATTATAGTCTAATTTTGTTTAATAACTGCTACAGCTTACTATGAGGCTATTTCTATTATTTATTGTTTCTTTTGATTTTCACTTTTTTTTTGTGGGGGGAGAGGTTTTTGCTATAGGGCACATGTGCTCACCAGAAAGACAGAGAGAAAAAGAGAGACAGAAAGTGAGAAATCACCCTCCGGGGGGATGGCCATGCCACAATCCCTTCTCCTCCATTCTCCTCTTGGGATCTTGGGCACGCACACACATTCGCCCCGTGTGAGTTTAAGCCACCGGGTCTGGGATGCGAACTGCGGTCGACTACATGGAAGTCCACCAACATAACCATTACACTAACTGCTGGTTCCTCTCTATACACTATTATCCTAGAGTGGTAGACATTGCATCAAAAAAAAAAAAATGGTAAAGATGGGGCCAGCACGTGGCCTGATGGTTAAGGTGCTTGGACTCACACTTTCAGTTTTCTTCTCTCTGTCTCTCTACTGTAAGTGCATGCACCCTGTGGCATTTGAACTTTTGACTGATGATATCTTCCTCCATTGAAGTTTTTTGTTTGGTTCTACCTATTGGCTAGAACTATCAATCCCAGCTCAGTTTAATCTAATTAGAATTAGAGATAAATTGAGTGTGAGCTTTAGTATTTATGAGGGTTGATTTCCCTTTACCTCAAAGAGGTAGACCTTCTGTGTTCT